TCCCAGCCACTCGGGAAGGGTGAGGAATAAAACTGCTTGAACCCAGGAGACAGAGGATGCAGTGAGCCGAGACTGCAACACTGTACTGCCAGCCTGGGCGACAGGCCGAGACTCCTTCAAAAAAAAAAGGCATTTACCAAGCACTGAGCACTCCTCTAGGAGTCTGGGCTACAGAGGAAGAGCCCCGTTCCAGGCAGATTTTCAAGGCGGAAACCCCAGGACTCTCCGAGAGACTGGAAGAGAAAGCGGGGCATCAGGATACGTCCCAGGCCTTGACCCCAGGACACGAGGATGCCGGTGCTATCGACTGGGATGGGCAAGCCCGCAGCACAGCCGGTGTGGAGGGGCTACCGGAAGCTCCGTGTGGGGTACACTGCGTTTGTGTTATCTATTAGACATCAAAACACAGGGGATACACAAGCCTGGAATTCAGGGACAATGCCCAGCTAGGGGTAAAAACTTGGAAATGAGGACACAGACAAACAGTATTTAAAACCATGAGACTAGATCCAGCCAGCAAGCGCAAGGGGTTGCTGGAGAAGAGGGCTGGGGACCCAGTCCTGGATAAAGGCCACACTGCACAGATGGGCGGTGCGGAAAGAAAGGAGATGAGAAGAGACGTACAGAGGAAAGAACTTGAGAGAGTCTAGTCTACAATCAGTTTTCAAAGTCTTTCCAGTACAATTCCTTTCAACACCACATTGAAAAAACGAGCAGGTAGCCAAAAAAAGGGTGATGTGAGAACAAAAGATGTTATCACAAATAAATACCAAAAACGTCAAAAACAATCATTTTGAAAAGAACATTAAATAGTAGGATAGCTACTGTTAAAATTAATTAGGCTCTGTCTGAAGTGCAGTGGCACAATCTCGGCTCACTGTAATCTCCACCTCCCTGGTTCAAGCAATTCCCCTGCCTCAGCCTCCTGAGTAGCTGGGATTACAGGCACATGCTACCACGCCGGGCTAAATTTTTTGTATTTTTAGTAGAGACGGGATTTCACCATGTTGGCCAGACTGGTTTCGAACTCCTGACCTCAGGTGATCCACCCACCTTGGCCTCCCAAAGTGTGGGATTACAGGTGTGAGCCACTACGTCTGGCTAGCTAAATGGTTGAGTTTTCGTTTTTTCTTTTGAGACAGGGTCTCACTCTGTTGCCCAGGCTGCAGTGCAGTGACACAATCATAGCTTACTGCAGCCTCAACCTCCTGGGCTCGAGGAATCCTCCCACCTCAGCCTACCAAATAGCTAGAACTACAGGCAAGCACCACCATACACAGCTAATTTTTTTATTTTTTGTAGTGATGGAGTCTCCCTATGTTGCCCAAGCTGGTCTCAAAATCCTGGGCTGGAGCAATCCTCCCACCTCAGCCTCCCAAAGTGCTGCGATTACAGGTATGACCCACCACACCTGGCCTGAATGAGTTTTTAAAATACCAAAAGGCAACAATGATAAAAAGTACACACACATACCCCCCACAAGAGAGAGAATATCTAACTTCAAAGATAAAACATTTGTGAAAACTATGAGAGAAAACAAAAATAATGAATGAACATTTCAAAAGAGGAAAATGTCCCAAACAGCAAGAACTTTTAAAAGAAATAGATGCTTTGGGAGGCTGTGGTGGGAGGATCACTTGAGCCCAGGAAGCTGAGGCTGCCGTGAGCTGTGATGGCACCACTGCACTCTAGCCTGGGGGCAGAGTGAGACCCTGTCCAGAAAAAAAAAAGGAAAGGGGAAGGAGGGAAGGAGGGAGAGAGGGAGAGAGGGAGGGGAGGAGGGGAGGGAGGGTATCCTTCCTCTGTCTCCCTGCCTTCTCGCCCTCTCCTCCATCCCTCCCTTTTCCTCTCTTCCTTTCTCCCACTCCGCCTCCCTCTCTCTCGTCTCCTCCACTCCCTACCTCTCTCTCTCCCTCTCCTCCTCTCTCCTCCTCTCTCTCCTCTCGTCTCCCTCACACCCTCTCCTCTCCTCTCCCTCCCCTCTCTCCCGTCCTCTCCTCTTGTCTCCTCCTCATCCCTCTCCTCCCTCTGTCTCCTCCTCCTCTTCCTGTCTCTCCCCTCCCTCCTCCTCGCCTCCCTTTCTCCCTCTCTTCCTCTCTCTCCCCTCCCTCACTTCCTCCTCCCTCCCGCCTCCTCCCTCTCTCTCTCTCCCTCCTCCTCTCTCTCCTCCCTCCCCTCCCTCCTCTCTCTCTCCTCCTCCTCCTCTCTCTCTCTCCCCTCCTCCTCTCCTCCCGTCCCCTCCCTCCCCTCCCTCCTCCACTCCTCCCTCTTCTCCT